CACAGAGCAATGGCTGGGTGTCATTCACACCCAGGAATGCTTGTGGGACCGTGCTGCTGCCGATGCCCAGAAACTGTGGCCAGGTACCAGCCTGCCCTAGAAAAAGTTCACGAGACAGTGTAGCAGCAGTGCCTCATGGATTATGGAGAATCACAACACACATCTGGCACCAGCCTTCACCCCCAACGACCTTGTTCCAGCACCAGCAAATGTGGCTTTCTCTGGGGTCTGCTGGGCCCAGGTGGCCTCACAGCCTCTACCAAATGTCTTTCCAGCAGTGGAACTGCTTCTCCCTGTGTGGCCTGAGAACCTCACTGTCCCCACTCTACTCCTGGGGATTCGCCCTTCCCACCAGACCACCATCAGGTATTGAGCTCTGGAGTTGCAGACTCTCTGTGCTCCCCGTTTATAGTCTTAATGGAATTTAAACCCTCTCCCTTTTTGTTTCTCCCTTTTTCAGTCCCTGTGGCTATTTTCAATTTTCCACTTTCTCTCCAGCTGCTTTTGGGGAGGTGTGCTTTTCTCATATTCTACCCCCACCCCCATCTCCATCCTCTCTCCTCAGGCAAAAGCGGCTCCCTGCCCTCCACAGGTTCTCTCTCCCCAAGTTCACCTCTTCACACCGCATACCTGCTGAATTCTGTGCTTCAGGTTGTGCAGATTGTTGTGTTAATCCTCAGATCAGTTTTCTAGGTGTGCAGGATGGTTTAGTGTTGGTCTGGCTGTAATTCATGGACACGAGACACACAAAAAACTTCCATGCTGTTCCACCATCTTGGCTTCTCCTAAAAACGTTTATTTTTGAAAGAGAGAGAGAGACAGAGAGAGAGAGAGAGACAGAGAGAGAGCAAGCGGGGGAGGGGCAAAGAAAGAAGGGGAGACAGAGAATCCAAAGCAGGCTCTGACAGCAGTGAGCCCAGTGTGGGGCTCAAACTCATGAACCACGAGATCATGACCTGAGCTGAAGTTGGATGCTCAACTGACTGAGCCACCCAGGCACCCCCCTCTTTTAAAAAATTTTTTATTTTTTAAAGTTTGTTTATTTTTGACAGAGAATGAGCAGGGGAGGGGCAGAGAGAGAGAGAGGGAGACAGAGGATCTGAAGCAGGTTTCGTGCTGCTAGCACAGAGTCCAATGCGGAGCTTGATCCCATGAACTGTGAGATCATGACCTGAGCTGAAATCAAGAGTTGGACACTTAAACGACTAACACACCCAGGTGCCCCCAAAAGATTTTACTTTTAAGTAATATCTACACCCAATGTAGGGCTCAAACTCACAGCCCACAGATCAAAAGTTGCATGCTCCACTGACTGAGCCTGGCAGGTGCCCCTCTCTCAGCACTTTCACTCCATTCTTCTTGCTTGCAGGATTTCTGACAACAAATCAGGTGTAATTCTTTTTTTCCTTTAAATGTTTATTTATTTTGCGAGAGAGGGAGGGGTGAAGGTCAGAGAGAGAGGGAGAGAGAATCACAAGCAGGCTCTGCACTGTCAATGCACAGACTGACTTTGGGCTTGATCCTACAAATTGTGAGATCATGACCTGAGCTGAAATCAAGAGTTGGACACTTAACTGAGCCACCTAGGCGCAAGTCAGGTGTAATTCTTATCTTTGTTCCTCTATAATGTTTTTCCTCCAGTTTCTTTCAGGTTGTTTTCATTATCTTTGATTTTCTGAAGTTTGAAAATGACATGCCTCAGTATAATTTTTTGGTATTTATCTTACTTGGTAATCCTGAGCTTCTTCAATCCATGGTTTGGTGTCTGATATTAATTTGGGAAAATTCTGTCATAACTTCAAATATTTTTTTCTTTCTTTCTTTCTTGTCCCTCTGGTATTTCTATACATGTACATTACAAACCTTTTGTAGTTGTCCCACTGTCCCTAGATATGGTTCTGTTTCCCTCAGTCTTTGTTCTCTTTGCTTTTCAGCTTTCGAGATTTTTACTGAAATAACCTCAAGCTCAGAGATTCTTTCCTCAGCCATGTCCAGTATACTAATAAGCTCATGAAAGGTATTTCTCATTTGTTAGCTTTTGTTGTTTAAATCTCCAGCATTTCTCTTTAGTCTTATGATTTCCTTCTCTTTGCTTACATAACCCATCTATTCTTGCTTTATCCATTTGGGCCCTGAACATATTAAACATAATTTTTTAAAACTCATGGTCTGATAATTCCAACATCCTGCCATGTCTATTTCTGATGCTGTATCTGTTCAAATTGTAATTTGTGGGGTTTTTTGGTTTTGTTTTGCTTTTTGCCTTTTAGTATGCCTTGTAATTTTTCTTGGTAGCCAGATATGATGTAGTGGGTAAAAGGAAGTGCTACAAATAGGTCTTTTAAAATGTGGCAATGTGGTATAGTGGAAGGGGAAGTGTTCTATACTCCTTTTGATAGGTCCTTATTTTAGTAAACCCATGCCTCTGGACAAACTTAAGTGTCTTTCTTAGATTTTTTTCTCCCTCATTAGGTGGCACAGGGTGGGTGGAGTGGACTGAACTTGGGTCCCTTCTCCTACACATAAGAGTTGAACTGACTATAAGTTTGGTACTTTCCTTCTTGTACATTAGTCTCTGTTAGACTCTGAGAAAACCCCTGCAGGTGACATTATGATTAACTAGTTTTTCCTAAAGTTAGGAGAGGACCAGAATATCCTGGCATATTTGAAAATTGTCCCTGGGGTACCTGGGTTGCTCAGTCAGTTGGGCGTCCAACTTCAGCTCAGGTTTTCATCTCACAGTTTGTGAGTTCAAGCCCCACATTGGGCTCACTGCTGTCAGCACAGAGCCTGCTTCAGATCCTCTGTCCCCCTCACTTTGCCCTCCTTTGCTTGCATTCTTTAAAAAAGAGAGAAAATTGTCCCTTTTCTCCTCCTGCTGGAAGCACAAGAGAATTTTTCCCCGATATTTCTTGTGAAAAGCTAGGTGGTCAATTTCACAAAACTGTAGGGATCCCTAAGACTGGGTCCCCCTGGACTTTTGAACTCTCAGTGGTCTACACTTAGCCTCCAGCAATTTGTTAAATCTAGTTCAGGTTTTCTTACTCCTGCACTGGCTCCCGCAGTGTTTGAGTCTCTGCTCCAGTAAGTTCCAATTCTCTATATTCACCCATCTCCCCAGTGTTAGGGGTAGCAGTTTGCCCTGTGTCCTCTCTCTTCTTCTGTATCCAAGAAGAGTTGATGATTCAGTCTGTTCAGTTTTTTACTTGGCAGCTTCTAAGCACTTTACAGGGGAAACTGGAAGTCCCCGTTGTGCATTCTTATATGCTTACATGCCTCAGGTTGTGCTATTTTCACCTCTTTGCCTTTAGTTTTTCTTTGGCTGCAAATTCCTGAATTCTTTCACATGTAATGTGGTACAATGGCTCAAATACTTAAGATGGTAGCATTTTGGATTACTTATATTTTACTTTTTATCATATATAACTGTTTTTATTTTGAATATTTTCCACTGAGGTATAATTTATATGAAGCAAAACACACAACTCTTAAGTATTCAAGTCGTATGAGTTTTGACAAACACAAAACTCTGCTTTTGACACCCAACTGAGGCATATAGCTAGGGCTATCTAAAGTAAGTGTTAATGTTCAACATCACTGTATCATTAGCAAAGTAGGTTGTAATTTTTCTATTATTACTATCATTGACATATAAGAGAAAAATTCAACAAAGCAAGGCTATATTAACTACTATCTGGAAAGAACTGAAAACGTCTAACACACTGAGATCAAATTAGACTATTTGGGTAAGTCTGTTTTACCGCCTACTGGATTCCATAAGTTAACACAGTAACACTTAAATATTGACAACTCATTGTGGAATTTCCCACAGAAACTTACCTAAACTTGAAGTGCAAATCTCTGCTTCCTAATAACATGAAAATGCTGAAAAATGTTAGAAGAAAATGATAAATCTGTGAGATATATTACTGCAAAACAGAATTTATAGTAAAAACTTCCATGTTACATTTGAGCACAAGATTTGTAAAATCACCAAATGTGTCTGGTTCTTCCAGTAAGAAGGTTATGTAAAGTGATGCAATTTTTGTTTTACGTTACTAAGATTCATATAGTGATTCATCATTTTCAGTATATGTAAAATTAACCTTTTGTTTGTAGGATCCTTTGATTAGCTACTTCACTGCTATAAATATCACTCTGAATTTATACTTCTCATAGGCTTTTTTTGTGTAATATGCTTTTAAACTATATTCTCTTGACTTTGGGTAAATTATTTAAAAGGTACATTTTGAGACAGCTGTATTTCTTTCTCAATTACCTCTATAAAAATGGGCATGATGTAAGGGAATAGCAAAATAAAATATTTTTGCATAGTGGTCCTTTTAACTATTAAGGACTATGTTTAAAGGATTACAAATGAATGATTATGCAATATTCCCAAGACACCAAAAATGCTAAAGATAAAAAATTCCCAATTGGAATGATTTCAGGGAAGTTAGAAGGCAATTTCTTTAAACAACAACAACAAAATTCTTTTTATTTTTAGAGAGAGAGAGAATCTTAAGTAGGCTACACACACCCAGTGTGGAGCCCAATGTGGGGCTCGATCCCACGACCCTGGGGATCATGACCTGAGCTGAAATCAAGAGTTGGATGCTCCATCAACTGAGCCACTCAGGTGCCCCAAGAGCAATTTCTCTTAATTGTAGGTGAATAAATGAGAACAACAATGGTAGAGAAGAAGCTCGATCATTTTACAGCAGTGAATCCTTTTGGGCATCTGAACAAAGCCATGTAACACAACTTCCTGTCCCAAGTCAATTTCATTTATACACAGAAGTTGGCATATTATTTCAACGTACTCAAGCCACCTGAAACTCGTCTACATATTTCTAGGGTTCTACATAAATGAACAATGACCTTGGGATATGGAATAATCTATAAAAATCCACAGAATTGTAAACACTGACTTTAAAGGTAAGTGGCAGGAAATCCCATTTTTAAAACAGACCTAATTTCCAAACTACATAAATGAGGAATTAAGTTATTAATTTCAAAACACTTTATTGAAAAAAGTCATTCAAACATCACCAAAAACGTTCCTGTAATTCTCACTCCTGTTTTTCACATAGTGTATGATGTACAAAAGAATGACTCATAAAATATGTAAAGTTTTGTAATATTATGCCTATGGATAATTACTAGTTAACAAGTATGCTAAAAGACACTGGTAATGGTTTTTATAGTGATAAAATTTTACAATAAATCTTTCAAATATTTAAACCACCTTTTAAATGTTCACCATTGCTAAAATTAAATCCAAACAGTGTTTGTTGGCTCTCTCTGTAAATATCTTAAGTTCAGAAATTATTTTGGAATTTAAAAATCTTGAACAGAGAACCTGCTTGCCAGTACCTGCATCATTTAGCACCTCTCCTCAGGTATGCCAAAAATTTGTAATTTTCAGTGTGTGCTATAATGTAACAATGGCTGGGAAGCTCTACACTGTACCATATGCAATAAAATAAGAGGTATGGATAACATGAACAATGTTAGGCAGTCTTCATTTAGACCTCTGAGTTTATTTTGGTAATAGCCATGAAATGGTTCAACTATTCAAAGGGCACACACTTCTTTTCTAAAAGACTTAGCATGCTATGAAAGAAAAAATAAACTTGAAACTTGGAAGAGGTTTTGTTCCCTGAATATTAAATATGTCAGCCTATGATAATCCATATAATCTAATTTTTATGTGTGTCCAAATATTTAAGTTTTATACTTTTATTCCTCACATATACAAATCATTTTTGTAATGACTTTTCTAAACCATCACCAATTTAATTTAAAATAATGACAGGAATTAGAGGATTATTAATCTTTTTGCTAGTTTTATTTTACTGTAAGAGTTGTATTTCTTGTATCCAATAAACATCAGCATAATATTTTAAATTTGTTCTTAAAAATATACAATATTGCACTTTAATTTTTGGCAGTTTAATTAAGGAGTGGCTGAGTAAAAAATAAATCATACAGGAGATTACAGTTTTTATTTTGCTTTATAATAAGCAAAGAGCTTTGTGTAAAAGCAGAACTTACAGTAGTGCCAAATAAACCAAATATTTACAGTGTCCCTATTAAAGTCTTACCTCTAAAGTAAGATTCAGTGTATTGGATGCAAATATTATTAATCTAACAAAAGCACACTCCCCCACCCTATTTTGATGAACATTTTTAAGCCAAAGGGTATTGGTGTGAAATGCTTCTGTGATTTTTTTTCTCAAGAGGAAATACATGGAAAGAATGCTTGTTCCTTAAGCTTTTAAAGTTGGTCTCAAAACTTTCACAATGTTTCCTACATGACTTGAAGAATCTCTACTCTAAGAAGCAGAATTCCAAGACAAGCACTCTTTTTAGTTTTTCTGTATTCTCTTCATAGTGACAAGTCCACAGTTAGTTGGTTTTTAGTATGATTTTAAGGTCAGTTTCCTGTACTTTTCGTAAGACAAGTAAGATACTGTCGTTGCATCTGCTGGAATTATTTTTAACTTGTTACATTGTAGCGATGTATATATTTACACTGACCTAGAATTTGCTATTCTGTTTTTTAATTCCCAATTAGGTAAAAACTCCAGAAAGCTCAATATTTTTCACTTATTAACCAATTAGAAAAACAGTTTTACACAGCTGTCTGCAAAAGCAAATACTGAGATTTAGGCCTACTTAACAATAACATCAAAAGACCAAAAAGAACATAAATAGAATGTATTTGTAATATAAATACATGACACAGAGACATTCATTTTTGGCACCACCTAAAAAAAAAGCCAGTAGTATTTTATTACCCTTCAGATCTTTGGGAATATTTAAACCTTCTAACTATTAAGCTTTTACTTTTCTTTCAGAAAAAAAAAAATTGGCAAATTTGAATTGGTATTTCAAAAGTAAAGGATCTCCTTGTTATTTCTTAATTTGATCTGCAGAATGAACACTTACTCCAAGTGTTAACTCACAGCCCATGTGTTAACTATGCTTTTACATTTTAATCCTACGAAGAACTGATTATGTCAACCAACGACTTCTCATGGAAAGATGTGATTTCTTCTTAACCACATACCAATTGCATAGTTCTGATCTGAGAACAAAGGTCAAAGTAGAGAGTTACAAAGGCATTAATTTATGTTAACTGAACTGAAATAGGCTGTTGCAAAATAGTCTGTCTTGGGTAGATGTTAGTGTAAACTGAGGGGGAAAAACAGTCATTAGCAAAAATTTTCTTTAAAAATAGGTTAATGCTGAGAACAATAGCTTTTAAAATTTGTTTAAAAATAAGCTAGTAAACAATAATACAAATTTTAATCCAAAACTTAGCTCTTTGAAATGCCCTATTTTCTTGCATACAGCAGAAAATACATTTTTCATATTTAACATTACATGTAAAAATGAGGCACTAGTTAAACAGATTTGAATATATTCACACAAACAGGAGTTTCAGTCTCATCTGTAGGCTTGTATTCGCCTCAATGGTTTCTGGATGGCAAACTGTTCACAAAAATAAATCTTCTGAAGGAGGTGCATAAGAGAAACCGACAAATGCATCATCTGCCTCCAGTACACTGGCATTCACTATAGAATAGTCAGAAGACACACACACAGAATACGGAACTGTTTCTTCTGTAAATGCTGCATCAAAGTTCCTGATATCATCTGGTCCCGCCTAAAACATCAAAAGCATATTATTATTCCTCTTAGCTTTTTTTAAAAAATATTTTTGAGAGAGAGAGAGAGAAAGAGAGACAGTGTGAATGGCGAAGGGGCAGAGAGAGAGAGGGAGACACAGAATCCGAAGCAGGCTCCAGGCTCTGAGCTGTCAGCACAGAGCCGACATGGGGTTGGATCTCACAAACCACGAGGTCATGACCTGAGCTCAAGTTGGATGCTTAACCGACTGAGCCACCCAGATGCCCTCATCTTAGCTTTTGTTTTCATTAATTTAGTCTTTCATTAAAACCCCTTCACGAATTTGTGTATTTATTCCTGGCAAGTTTAGATGTCTTCCTACTTCGTCACTTCTTCGAAGCAATTTCTGCTTTTCCTTTCCAGAGTTTATTATTTAGGTGAGGTTATCTGTCCTAACAAAGTTCTTTCTGTTGGGAGCTGTGGGGAGACAAGGGTGGCTAGCATAACAGAGTCCTTACCTAAGTCAATGTGAACCTCAGGCCCTCCAACTGACTCCCTTTCTCTCTACCCATCACCACCTCTAAGTTTAGAAAAGGAGCCCAAGTAGGTTTTCAAGATGGCACTTTTCACTTGAACTTACAGAAAAATGCTTGCCTGTCAGTTTCTGAACTCTGGGTAGGTAAAGCCTTTTGCTTAAAGAATGAAGGCGTTGTAAATAAAACCGTGCAAGTTAAACACTCTTTGCGCTACAGAGGTCGTTAAGTATTCGCCTGTGACACCTTAGCTTTAGAGGCCTGAAGTGGCCAAGAACCTGGGAAGTAAAGCATGGCAGCTGCTCAATGGCAGCGGTTCTTAATCTTCCTTTACAAATTTGATAAAACCTAATGGACTCTCCGCTTCCAATGCATTTGCAGATAAAAGTTGAGATACAAATTCAGGTGACTCACTCTTAGAGCTCATCCCTCAATCTCTAGGTTACCTCTGCTTTAAGGGGCCAAGGGGGCAGGAATCCTTAGCATGTCCAAGTCATCAAGTCTAACTGAGGTAAAAGACAAGGATCCAGAGAAGACATTCTAAGCTAAGGATATAGTTAGTCTGGCAGGTAGGTCTACAAACAGTGGAGCAGAGACAAGGGAAACTCAGAATACTAGATCCCTCAATATGAGAAATTCCCCCACTGAAGAGGAAGAAACTGAATTTAGGTACATATAAAAAATGTCAAATCTTTACATGTTATTCTAAGAAGTATGGGCTCTGGAATAAGACTAAGGTTTGAATTCTGGCTATGAAATTTGCTAGCTATAATTTTTTATATAAACTACCTCTCTGTGAGCTCATAAGTAAAAATAGTACCACCCACCTGTTAAGGTTTTTGTGAGGATCTGATGTGTGAATACATAAAATTCCCAGAATCTGACATGTAGAAGGTGTTCAGTAAATGATGGCAAATATTCTTCTACTTGATTTTATAGGTATTTTGTGAATGCCGTTATGGGTTGGCTAGTAGTAACAGGGATAATACTGTATTGCTTATGTTAAGAGTTAGGGAGGTTTTGTCTTCAAAGAGCCTGAGCTCAAGTTCTAGTTCTTCAACTTTATTTTTAAAAAATGTTTATTTTGAGAGAGCGTGCATGAGCAAGCATGTGTGTGTGCATGCACAAGCGGGAAAGGGGAAGAGAGAGAGGGAGAGAGAGAATCCCAAGCAGGCTCCGTGCCATCTGCACAGAACTGGATGAGGGGCTAAGTATCATGACCTACCTGAGCCAAAATCAAGAGTCAGAGGCTTAACCGACTGAGCCACCCAGACACCCCTAGTTCTTCAATTTTAAACTCTGGGCAAACTATTAACCATTTCTGTGACTAAGTTAACTCATCTGTATTATACGGAAAATAGCAGAACTATTTCAAAGAATTGCTGTCAATGTTTAAAAAAAAAAGGATGCAAGTATTGAGAACATCTACTTAATCATACTCTAGCTTTCTGATCTTTGTTAATCTGTTAAGTGAAAAATGGTAACCTGAGTTTGAACTCTTTTCATATATTTAAAAGCTGTATTTATTCTTCTGTAACTGTGTATTTTGTGTCTTTTGTTCATGTTTCTATTGGTAACTGGTCTTTTTTCTCATTGACTTACAAGAATGCTTTATGTGTTAAAGAAATTTTCTCTAGTTTGTTGTCTGCATTTTTTTTTCATGTAGACCTTTCTAGATTTAATGTGGCCAAATTTACAATTTCCCCCCCTGTGGCTTCTTGGTTGTGGATCTTGCTTTAAAAAAGTTTACTTAGTCATAAAAAAGCAGGAATCCCAACTGAGGTATCTAACTCTGAAGTCTACATTGTTTCCATTTCCAGTATTGCTTAGGAGTACCTAACTCAACTCTTCAATGTGCCTGATGACCTATTTATTTGAAGATAACTAAAGTCAGTAAGACTTTCAATGTAAAAATAAAAAGAAAATAATTCTTAAAGGCCCTAGGTTCTTACTGCAAACTCTAGAAATTAGGGACAAAACTGTCCTTAATGGAGTCTGTCCTTACTTCTGAAACAGTCACTTCTGGATAAGTTAAATGAAATGAGGCAATCTATAAATGTTCTGTTAATAGGTGTACAGTATCACACCTACTAAATATTACCAGCCATGAGCAATGCACTGAAACAAACATTTAACAAAATCTGAGTAGACTAAATAATACTTTCCTAAAGTATTTTCCTTATCCTGCACTAATCTACTAAAAAGTCTTTCATGAATTTCGCAACACCAAAAAACTTTAAATAAAAGAAACACAAGTTCACCCATGACCCTGCAAACCCAAATTAATCTTGGTTTATATTATATTCTCTTCCAGTCCTTATGTGTTATTTTTACTGCTATAATCGTAAGTCACAAAATTATAACTGCCATTTTTTTTAAGTTTATTTATTTTGAGAGAGAGAGCACAAGTTGGGTAGGGGCAAAGAGAGAGGAAGAAAGAATTCTACCCAGGCACCCCATAATTGCCATGTTTTTATTTAGCATTATAAGAATTTTCTAAGTGTCTGCTCATTTAAAAAAATATTTGGGGGGGGGGGTAGGTGGGAGGGAGGGAAACAGCGGGGGAGGGGCAGAGAGAGAGGGGGATAGAGGATCCGAAGCAGGCTCTGCGCTGACAGCAGCAAGTCCGATGTGGGCCTCAAACTCATGGGAGATCATGACATGAGCCAGAGTGAGATGCTCAATCTACTGAGCCACCCAGGTGCACCCTTATTTCTGTATTTATTATTATCATTTACTTAATTAGACACTCAAGCACAAGAAAGCATAGAAAGAATAGTGACTTTGGAATAAGGCACAGATTTGAATCCTTGCTCTGCTACTTTTCAAATCAGCTATGTGGCATCTCTGACTTTTATTTCTTCATTTATAAATCATGTATAATAAGGAGGACAGTAATGGCAGTAACCTGGCAGTATGGGGAATAAACTTCATACTGTGATGCATGAAAGTATCATAAAAGTATATATGCCTATATATATATATATATATATATCTATATATATATATATATCTATATATATATATCTATCAATAGTTTAGTAATATCATTATTGGTCTACTATGGATGATTAAAAAATTCCCTATTGTTCTATATTTATTTCCCCAAATTTCCAACATAATCTTCAATGCAGCTTTCAGCTTAAAAAAAAATTATGTTTATGTAAATTTTTTCTATCAGCTGATTTACCAAGTCAAGCTAACATGAAAATTTTATTTTCCAAAAAGGGATATGACAATTTACATTACCATTAATGTTTGTCTGTGCCTAGTTTTATATCAATGTAGAAAAAAGATGCATTAATGTTACTTAAAATTAAAAAAAATTTATTTAAAGCACAATCCTCTCTAAATCTAGAGGTATGTTTTTAATTTTTTTTTTTTTTTTTTTTTTTAAAGAGAGAGAGAGAGCATGAGGCAGGGGAGAGGAGCAAAGGGACAGAGAGAGAATCTTAAGGTGGTTCCACACTGAACGTGGATGTGGGGCTCAATTCCATGACCCTAAGATTATGACCTGAGCCAAAATCAAGAGTTGGAGCTTTAACAGACTGAACCACCCAGGTGCCCCAATTTGCATCTTTTTTAATCTAATGAACTCATCCCTTTCTTATACATGCTCCAAAGAAACATTTCATAATTGCTGTGCTAGGAGATACTTTTACCAATGCAATGTAGCTATAATCTTATTGGTCATCTTGAAGTTATCAGTATACTAGAAAATGCTGAGAAACAGATTTTTAAAGTATTTAAGGTACTGATTCAATTTCATTCACATGAGATTTTGAGATCTATTGCCAAAGTTATGATGAGCTATATAGTTCTACATTTCACTATTTATTTATTTATTTATTTATTTATTTATTTATTCCATTTTACTATTTTAGAAAGCAAGATTTGGATATATACTTACCACATTAGGATTAAATGGTGGTGGAATCTTCTTTTGTACAAGATCAGTCCAGCTGAGTGATTCAAAAAAAGGATGATTCTGAATTTCAAGCTAGAATGTTAAAAAAAAATACATACATTTTTTATAATGTTGAAAAATATAATTAAGTACTCACTGAAGAATTATATGAAGGCAAACCATTACCACTTTGTCCCTCACTAATTCTTTTTAGGTACATGTTTATGTTATTCATGTAGCAAAATGGCATAGGGGAGAGACTGCCAGAGCAAAACAGGAAAGACAGTTACTTGGAATGACCAACTTAAGTTATATCCTCTTCACAATAATAGTTTCTTCATAGGTAAAATAAAGATACCTCACAGGTTGCTTTAAGGACCAATGGAAAATATGGAAATAAAAGAGGTATGAAAAGAATAAGGTACTACATAGCTACAAAGAACTATAATTATTGTCTGATGGCAGAGGTAAAAAAGAAGTTAGGCAAAAAGTGTTTTACACAGTGGGGCAGAGGTAAAATCAAGGGGATGAGCTATTTTACCAAAAAAAAAAAAAAAAAATTCTATTCTGGGTTAGTATTATCAAAAGATGGCACAGTATTTATTCCAGTTATTTTCCCTGCAAGGTGACACAGAAGTGTATAAAGTAGGATCCAACCTAGTTTGGTGGGTTTAAAAAGACATCTTGGAGACTAAGTAATGTTTGATCAGAAGTCTGAAAGATGATAAAAATTAGATAAAAAATGACGGGGAAAACATTCCAGGCAGAATATGAAGGCCCTCATGTGGCAAAGCGGTTAGTTTGATGAAGAAAACGAGCCAAGGGGCACCTGGGTGATTCAATCGGCTAAGTGTCTGACTCCTGGTTTCAGCTCAGGACAAAATCTCATGATTCGTGAGTTTGAGCCCCACATTGGGCTCTAAACTGACAGCACAGAGCCTGCTTGGGATTCTCCCTCTTCCTCTCTCAGTCCCTTCCCTGCTTGTACGTGCATGCATGTGCGTGCTCTCTCTCAAAATAAATAAACAAACTTAAAATACAGGGAAGGATTGGGACTGTCACACAAGGTGAAGCCTAAGAGGTAAACTGACATATCATACTGGTTAAAGAATTACATTAAGAATTTTGAATTTTATCCTAGGATTATGAAAAGCCATCAGGGTATTTTAGATACGGGAATGTCACAAATATAAGGGATTTCCGGTTTGTTTTTTTTAAGACCTGAATGTAATAGGGAAATGGACTGGAAAGCCATGGCCAGATTAAGGAAACAGAGCTACTGTTGTGGCAAAAAAAAGTTGAAAATGGTAAGGGTACCAGGCTCAGTTGGTGGAGTGTGCAACTCTTGATCTCGGGGTTGTGGGTTTGGGGCTCAAGCTGGATGGAAAGATTACTTAAAAATAAAATTAATTTTTTTTTAACGTTTATTTATTTTTTTGGGACAGAGAGAGACAGGGCATGAACGCGGGAGGGGCAGAGAGAGAGGGAGACACAGAATCGGAAACAGGCTCCAGGCTCTGAGCCATCAGCCCAGAGCCTGACGCGGGGCTCGAACTCACGGACCGCGAGATCGTGACCTGGCTGAAGTCGGACGCTTAACCGACTGCGCCACCCAGGCGCCCCATAAAAATAAAATTAAAAAAAAAAGTTGAAAAAGGTAGGAAAAGTGTAGTCACAGTCAAGTAGAAGAGTGTATAGCTATAGGAAAGATTTAGGAGGCAAATGCAACAGGATCTGGCTGTTGGTTGAATATGGAAGTAAGGAAGAGAGAGAAGTAGAGAATAACTCATATTTCTGACCTGAGGCACACAAAAGGAAGATGGCAGGAGTTCAGCAGTTTTGAATATGCTGTGTTTAAGGTACTAGCCAGAAATCCAAAGACTGGTGCTGAACATGTAATTATTATGAGTCCAGAGTTAAGAGAGGTCTGGACTGAAGTTATAAACGTGTGAGATGAAAACACAGAGATAATCAAAGCCACTGGGCCAACTGAGACTGTCCAGAAAGAGAACACAGAAGAAGAAAAGGGGGTTTAGGCCAACCACAAGGAACCACAACATTTAACCATCAGGTTGAAGAAAGTGGCTTACACAGGACATTACGGAGGAGGGCCTGGAAATACAGAATGAGATGACTGTGGGCTCTTGCAGAAGCCTATGGAACAAGAGTGTTGGAAGTTTAAATACTGCTGAGAAGGCAAGTTGAGGAATAGAGGGATTTAGCAATTCTAGTAGCTATTTTTGGTAAATTGAGAAATGAGAAGAGGCTGGGAAAGAAAAAAATCAACACAGAAACTTTTATGATGGGAAAAAGTTATTACCTGGCAGGCCAGCATGGTTGAGGGCTTTCAGTTTAAGAAGAGATTTGATAATGTCTCATTATTGCTTGGAATGCACTCTAACAAAAGGAAGCAGTTATCTGTGCAGAAAAATAGCATGCACAGGGTTCCCTGCAAGAAGTCAGGATCCAATGCAGATGTACAAACTGGCCTTGTCCACTACATTAGGAAGAAGGAAATGACAGCAAGCAGGAGTGTGCAGGTCTTCAAATCTGACAGCGAGGCTGAGTTAGTTCCACTCTGCTGATTCTACTTTCCCTATAAAATAGAAGGCAAGATCATCTGCTAAAAGTGAAGAAAAGGAGTCTGGAAATTTGGAGAGAAGGTCTGAAATCATTAATACAGACAGTAGGAGAAGCAGCTAGAGAAACACAGGAACATTACCAAGCAGCGATGAAGCACAAAGGAGATTAATGACTAAACTTCATAGTGCTTCCAATATGCCCAGTGGGACAGCCTTCTTCAGCACTGTTTAGCAGCCCAGAAGATGACAAGTGGATTCATCCAGGGTTGTGATTTCTGTCAGCGAATTCCATAAAAGGCCCAAGGGGCAAGAAGATGTGAAGTATTAGAAAGACTGAATAAAACCAATGGACTATGGAATGAATCCAAGCTAGGCAGAAAACTGTTGACAGAGCTACGTACTGGGGAGTGTGGGAAAGGAAAACCTCCAGCAGACAAGTTTGTTATTCACAGCTCAAGTTCACGACTGATAAAAGAATCCCCAAGAATTTGTGAGAAACTTGAGTTTAAAAGTCCATGTTGACACACCAACATAACACCAGTAGCTACATAAGCAATTTAATTTACACTAATTTTTTAAAAAGATTTTTTATTTTTAAGTAATCTCTACACCCAAGGTGGGGCTCACCCACAACCTCAAGATCAAGAGTCACATGCTACACCAACTGAGTCAGCCGGGTGCCCCTAATTGCCCTAATTTTAAAAAAACCAAAAGAGACCCACCAAACCTGTAGATTCTATAATTACCTCAGAGAGGTGTCACCAAATTCTCAGGAAAAAAAGTTATTTAATGTTAGTTCAAGGCAAAAGGCATTACCTCATGCAGACAGGAGCCACTTATAAATTGTTTCAATAAAATGATTTAAAAGTTTAGGTAATCACAAAATTCATGCCACACATTTTTTAAAAAGGGAGGAGAAATTCTTATAAATGAAAAAAATATGTAATAGGGCATGAGGGGTGTCTGGGTGGCTGAGAGTCCGACTCCCAATTTCAGCTCAGGGTTCATGGGATTGAGCCCTACATTGGGCTCCATGCTGAGTGTGGAGCTGGCTGAAGATTCTCTCTCTCTCTCTCTCTCTCTCTCTCTCTCTCTCTCTCTCCACCACTCTCCCCACGTGTGCTCTCAAAATTAAAAAAAAATTTTATATAGGGTATGAAAGCAGGATGTGAGGGGTGAAGCGGAGAGGCTCAAACGGTCATAAAGATCAAACAAAAAAACATACATGCAAGTGCTTCACGCCATATAAACATGGTAAAAACTGCTGGGACACATGTGCTTTTTTTTCATGGTGTTATTTAAGAGTTACATTCATCCCATTAAATGCCACATAAAATAAGAATTTTTCTTCAAGTCTCAAATAAGCTTAAATAAAGTGGTATGGGGAAGGATGTACATACAAAGTCTTCTTTGGCACCGAGTCGATTTTGCCTGTCTTTCTCTAGGAGTTCTTCCAGAATGGACCAGGCTGTGAGGCTCACTCCTGGCCTCAAACTTAGGGGCTTATGAAGAATATTGTCATACATTTCAGCTACATCTCGGCAATAAAAAGGAGGCTGGGAAAAAAAGGAAAAAAAAGTTAGTGTTTTTTTAAATTATTGTTTTATTTTTAAAGTTTATTTTTAAAGTTTATTTTTAAAGTTTATTCATTTTGAGAGAGAGAGAGAGAGAGAGAGAGAGAGAGAATGTGTGTGTGCACGTGCGTGTGTGTGCAGGGGAGGGGCAGAGAGAGGAGAGAGAGAGAATCCCAAGCAGGCTCCACACTGTCAGCACAGAGATCCATGCGGGGCTTGAACCCACAATGAAATCATGACCTGAGCATAAGTCAGACACTTAAACGACTGAGCCACTCAAGCACGCAGTGTTTTTTTTTTTATGTTTATTTTTTAGAGAGAGAGTGTGAGCCGGGCGGGGCAGAGAGAGAATCTGAAGCAGGCTCTGCAATGCCAGTGCAGAGCCTGACACAGGGCTCTAAGCAGGGCTCAAACTCACAAATCATGAGCCGAAGTTGGACACTTAACCAACTAAGCCACTTAGGTGCCCCAGAAGTTAGTGTTAATTGAACTATACCAAAATGAGGTTCAAAGAATTGGATTCAGCCTTGATCTACAGGAATCAGCCTGGGTCTGGACAGCTGCAGAAATGCAAAGGTTTCTGTGGGCACGT